TAGAAGTAGAATCAGCAAGAATATGAATAGTAAGGTAAAGTTCGAGAAGTATCGAAAAGGAATAGCGAAAGAGACAATGAACGCTAGAGATCCCAATGCACTGGCAAACAGTGGCCAAAAGTAAACTGTCAAAATGGTGGAAGCCTGCCTGTTATATACAGGGAGGGAGGGAGGAAGGGAGGGAGGGGAGGGGAGGGGAGGGGCTCCATGGAAAGTTCTAGGCTAAGCTAGAGAAATCTTCCCAAGGGAGGCACTGAGCAGGTGCAGCACGCATAAGTGTGATGCACAGAGACCACAACAAAGAACTGTATGTAGTCTGTGTAAGTGGAAACAATGAAATTATATTGTTACTTATTTTGTGTCTTTCCTCAAAATAGTTTTAGCATAAAAACTGACAGACATGAAGGAAAAAACATGTTGCTTAACTACAATTTTAAAATGGGAAGTTGTTTCTACCATCTGACACATTTTACAGAGCTTGAACCCCTCTTCACATTAAAGACATGAAACTGAGAAACAATTTTATAAATCAGCTGTGGAAGTGAAAAAAGTATTCAAATAGTTATTTCCATTTCTTCCAAACAGAAGATCCAAACAGCTAATTGCCAGAAAGTAACCCTACATACGCACACGCAAACACACAAATACACAGAGTATATATTCTTATCTAGCAAATATTTACTCAGCTATCTGAGTCATTATAACTAATCACTGAATACCTTTTCTCTGAAGCCATTCACTGCAAACCACATAGCAAAGTATACAAACATCACAAAGCTATATTAAGCAAGTGACTTAACTTTTTGCTGTCACCAGCAAACTATTATCCACACTTGTTGGAAAGCACTTGGCAACCACATAAGCAAGTACAACCCATTCTTTTAAAACCTCAATCTATAATGAACACCTAGATAAATGTTTAAATATTCACTCAGTTTAGCATCAGCACATCTGATTTTATGAACATAAAAGGATAATGTTTTCCTTAACTGTTGTCAAGATAATAGCAATGATGGTGCACCAGCAACAATCCTACCTTTTAAAGTGTCCATAATGAAATCTTTCAGATAGTTCATGTACTTGAAGTCATCCAACTTTGTGCTACCAGAAACAAACCAGCTGTTCTCCACAATGAAAATCTCTGGTTTGTTATATTCACTATTTATCCAGTAAAGGAGTGGTCTTAAGCTTAGTGATTCTTGCTGCTGAAATATCATGTCAGAATCCACCAGATGGAAACTTAGTGTGGCTCCAAAGGAAAGAGCAAAGAAATCAGCTGTCCCCTTGATAAACTTCTTTTCTGCTTCAGTGAATTCTGGCAGTCCTGCAGAAAGGTAGGTCTTCATGCTTTGAGGGTAGTCTCCATCAATAAATATAGGCTTAGCAAACCAGCCCAAGACAAAATCAAGAGATTTCTGACATTCCTTTATATCACTTTCAGTCATGCGTAGAGGTCTTATCCAGTGAGAACTTAAGGCAATTGACACTTTGCCTCCTTGAATGGGACGGAAATGATCATTGTAAAGATGCCACACTTTGGCATGGGCCTATGAGAAAGAAATAACCCAATGAAACTTTTGTATTTCATCCTTCCATGTTTTCTAGATTTCTCCAATCTATCTAAAATAATTTCTTGGCTGCCCTTCAGGATGGAACACACTCAGGGCAGTGTACAAGATTAAAACCACAAAAAATATATAGATTTAAGAATATATAAAAGCATGGCAGTAAAATCCATAGAAGCACTGCCAATTTAAATCGATAAAAGCAAAATTTGCCAATAAAAACCAACAGATGTAAGAGAAAGCCAGTGAAAAAGGATGAGTCTTTTGAAAATCTGCGAAAATTGGATCCAACAAACCACAGGCTCCTTATGGAAGTTGATTACAGGCCCTTTTCCTTGCACTCACCAGCCTACAAGAAGTGCCCTCGGCAGTGGGAAGCAGAGAAAGGTTTTTGTTGTTTCAAAATACAGGTGGAATAGTTATGGTGCCAGATGAGCCAACTGCCAACACCCTTATTCTGTTTCATACTTATTTGTTTAGGCAAACATATTGTTTTATACTTATTTATTTGGTCTAAACAGAGGTCTCATGGTGGCTATTAGGCCTCCACTCAAACAACATTCAACAATAATGATTAAAAGGTGACCCTTCACTCAAACCACCACCAATATTTTCATCCAGCCTGGAGTAACTGCATTATTTTGAGTGCAGCTTCCTCAAGCTGGAAATGAGGATTTGGTTTTATAACAAGTGCAGTACAACCCCCACATGCATCTTTCTTTCATAATGCAGCTTTGAAAATAAGGGGGGGATGAACTCTTAGTTCCACAAATAGTTTTTTCTGGTCCTCACACCCATGCCATTTATATCCAAAACATAGGGCACACAGAAGAGAAGAGTCAATGTTTAGCAACCTTCTCTTTGGTCACTCAGGAGCAATTCTTTAGCTTGCCACCATCTAAAACGTTAAGTGCATATTTACAACCCTGCTGAAAAGATTTGGGGAGGTTAGTTAACTACTTTTAACAAAATCGAAACCCATGGGTGGCAATGCGCTTTTTAAATTCATGTTGTGCCTGTTCTAGATAGAATATGGACCTGATCCAATAAGCTGTTGGGTCATAAAAAATTTAATTCAAAGGAAAAGTATCAAGCCAAAAGCTTTGCCAAAGTAATAAAGAAAGAAAGGCATTCTATCTAGCTGCCTTTACTTTTCACCAAGTTTTTTGAGAATAGAGATGTGAACTTGTATTCTTACACTCTGGAACATGTTGTACATGTGGAGGAGTTTCACCCGCTGCAGAGGAGAAAAATGAGTGCGATAAACATACCCACACAGAAGTACAATTGCTCTGAACTGAGCAGGCAGATAAAATAAGTAATTGGTAAAGGAAGTTTAGAATTAAATAATAATGCCAAATTAAACAGCACTACCCACTGATAATCACAGCTGAATTCCATGTGGGATGATTGGGAGTATTCTCGATCTCTGGCAAATAGCAATATTTATATCCTACATTATATCTGCTTGTGAGAGAAAGCATTGTTCAAGAGCTATTTTAGTAGGGGCATCCAATCAGAACTAACTCCAAGGTTGAGGAGATCTGCTATGGACCTATCTAGTGTCAGTGACCCTCCTTTTCCTCATCTGGTAGCTGCAGTGAAAAGCCACAACTCATGCTTTTAAAATTCCCACAAGTGCCTTCAACTGCCTGATGTAGTGTGGGAAATTTTAAATGACTGAAATGCTCAAAGCAACAACATAATAGGTTAAAAATGAATAAATAAAGTACTTGTGATTTAAAGGCAACACCATAAAACTAGCCAGTTGCAAATCTATAATACTATTTTTGGAGGGAGCAAAGAAAAAAATCACAAAAAAGGCAGGCCAAAGAACAAAAATGTCAGCATGTGGAAAAAATGTCAACAAACAAGCAACAAAGTAATAAACTGGTTCTTCAGGGACAGAAAACTTTGGGCACTGCAACAGACAATCAGTTACTTTTGTTCCCAATAACTATTTCTGCTGATGGTGAGATTCAGAAAAGGTTTTCTCCTACTAATAATAGAGAAACACAAGGTTTATAGGAACCAGTTTTTAACCATCCCAGTCTCAAGCCCTTTAAGACTTCAAAGCTACAAACCAGAACTGTGATCTGTCCTGGAAACAGACCTATAGCCTGTGTACTTGGTATGAAAATGAATCATGATGGCTATACATTATCCCCAGTATCAGTAGGCCTCCACACCTGTTGCCAGGGCACATGAGTAGGAAGGTGCTATAGCCTTTGTGTCTTGCTTGTGCCTTCACACAGGCACCCGATCAGCCTCCGTGGGAACAGAATGTTGGACAAGACTTGCCTTTGATCCGATACAGCTCAGTCCTCCTTACATTCCTAAGAATCCTGGTCCTTGAATTTGACTCAGATGAAGCTTCATATCTTTCTTCAAAGGGAGGTCCACATAATGCTTATTATATAAACCCAGTATCTACGTAACACAGGTATGTGTGGTGAGATGTTCTCCAGAAATGGGAACAGCTGGTTGTCCAGTTTAAGCTTAAGCAAGACAAGGACACTGTGGACAGTTTTGTCGCATTGTTGCCATCCATAATTCTTAGTGCCTTCACTAAGAATGCCTTCACTGCTTATTCTTTCACAGGCACAGAGCAAGCTATCTGGTTCTGACTCAGGCCATTGGCCCATCTAGCCCAGTACTGTCAACACTGACTAGCAACAACTCTCCAGGGTTTCAGGCAGGAATCTCTCCAGCTCTACCAGGAGATGTCAAGGACTGAACCAGGAAGCTTTTACATGCAAAGCACATGCTCCACCATAGAGTGACAGCCCTGCAGGAAAAACCCACTGCAGTGGTTGTAGAGCCTTGACTGCATGAGTCATACCATTCAACACTATTATTATTATTATTATTATTATTATTATTATTATTATTATTATTATTATAACATTTCTATGCCGCCCCTTGCCGAAACCTCGGGGCGGCTTACAACATGATAAAATACATTGAAATACAATAGTACATAATAAATTACCATTAAATATAAAAATACAAAAATACATTGATTTACAAATACAAAATTAAAATTATCAGTATAAAATAAAAATATAGGAGGAGAAAGAGAAGGAAGAAGAAGTTGCCCAGGCCAGATCATATGTTTTAACAATTGAAATGATGTTTAAATAAAAAGGTCTTTACCTGGCGCCGAAAAACCAATAACGACGGTGCCAGGCGGACCTCTTTGGGGAGTGAATTCCATAGGTTGGGCGCCACCGCAGAGAAAGCCCTCCTCCGGGTACTTACTTTCCTAATTTCTTTCATGGAGGGTTCCCGGAGAAGGGACTCTCCCGCAGATCTCAAAGGGCGGTCGGGCATATACGGACGTAAGCGCTCGTTCAGGTAGCCAGGACCCAAGCCGTTTAGGGCTTTGTAGGTCATAATCAACACCTTGAATTGGGCCCGGGCTTCAATGGGAAGCCAGTGAAGCTGATGGAGGACTGGAGTCATGTGAGCATAACGCCCCGTCCCCGTCAGCAACCTGGCAGCTCTATTTTGCATTGTTGCTGGGATGAAAACTGCACCCATCTGTGCGTCCCTTCCTATTTTGTAATTCTTCTCTGCTCGAGCCTCTTACATGATTATTATTGATTTTTTTATTGTTTTAGATTTTGCTTAATGATTTTGTAAGCAGTCCTGGGTGTATACTGGCTGAAGGACTGCACAGATCTTTTAAATGCAATGTATTTTCCCTCTCTTTATCACTGAATCCCTACTGAGATAACTGTCTGGCAAGATGCCTATATGCCCAGTATCATTTATTCTGACTGACAGCAGCTTTTCAGGCTTTCAGGCAAGGTCTCTTAAATTACCTGGTACCTGATCCCTTCCTTGTAACTGGAGTTGCCTGTTGGAATCACTCTGAGTGCAAAGCAAGTGCTCTAACTCCAGCTTTGCAAGATGAGAATCAGGCCCCTAGATAAATCAAAAGCATGGTCATGCTAGGCATTCTTTCCTTTTCTGTCCCAACTCTGTATAGTCAGCACATTTATATAATAATGTAATATATTTTAGGCTACAATCCTAAATACATCTGCACAGAAGCAAGTCCATATGAATTCAGTGCCATCTACTTCTGAGTAGTCATGCACTGGATTTTTCTAACGTTTCATTCTCTTTTTACCCTTCAATTTATTTTTCCCAATTAAAGTTACCAACAAAATAAAATTCTAAGCTGATAAATGTAGATGTGATGTGTTAATATGCAACATTTGTCTCTTCAAAGCAAAATACTGTCCTGTTTAACTGAATTTGTTTTATTGGCTTCATGAGGCAAATTCATCATGCCTGATGCTTGAAAAGTCACAAGAATCAGAAGATGGGTAATTAACCTAATCACTAATACAATAAACACATTGTAAGTCTATGTATCCAAATGCAAGAGCTGACAGGACCTTTATAGCGCAGAATAAACAGACTTTTAAGGTTTTGCAAATAAAATTGATAACAATAAAAAGATGGCAGAAGCAATATGATTGTTTATTTATGTAAGTTCATCTGTTATTTAAAACATTATGCAATTAAGCTCGCCAAACTTTGAGCCAGTCACTATTTTTCCACCAAACCCACATCACAGGATTGGAAAGCCATATATCCTGACTTGAGCTCCTTGGATGAAAAGCAAGATATAAATGCAAATGAAAGGCTGTGTTTTATTATGTGTGCAACTATAAAACAAAACCAGAATGGCTACAGTGAACACTTCTTTGTGTCAACAGCACCTGTGCATGCTGGTCTAGCCATTAAAATGATATTTTTAATAGCAGTGTATCACTGGGCATAAGTCTAAGCAGTGGACAACAATAACAAGTAGCTGGCCCGTAACTACTTCCAGTTGTCTATAAACATGATAACAAGAAAATCTAAAAAGGTGCCTTGAAATATGGTGTGTGTTCAACCAGACCACTTGCTGTAATAGATCTATGTCTGCAAATGTTATTTTGATCCTTCATTCTGGAAAACTTAAGCAGGCTATTTAGTTTTTTTAAAAAACCATGCATACACACACACAACTTTTCAGGCAGGTGGCACCAAGCATTACCAATTGGAAAGCCTCCTGCAGCTATTTCATCTTTTTCTCTTGAATGGATTTTCTGCAGTTGAAAAGTGGGCAGCAGAAGCAATGAGAAAAGATGGGAGGGTCACAGGTATAAGACAGAATTTCCCGGGGCTCTGTAAAAGTCAGTGAATGAACTCTGGAAGCATCCTAAAGGTACAATCCAAGGCACATTTAGGAAGAAAAAAAGACCAACATCTCCCAGCACTCCGCAACCTGCACTGCTGACTGGGAAATACTGAAAGTTGTAGAATGTTTTTCTATCTAGGAATGCACAGGATTGCATCGTAGCTGTATTATCTAAACACACATGTATACTCAATTCAGAGACAGGAAAAATAATGCAACACCATCAACTTGTTTTCATGAAATCTGAATTTGTCAGATAACTTATTCTGACATTCTATTTTCCACAAAGGAGGATTCCAGAAAGGAGGCTCCTTACATTGAAATGGCCTGAAAGTGAATTATGTCAAGGAGCAAAATGAGTCATTAAGAAAGAGCACAGTTCTACATGTATACTCAGAAGTAAAAAATTCAAAGGGTACACTTTTCAGGCAGCCAGCGGGTTCATGCTACCCATTTCCTTTCTTAAGGGCAATTTTCCCCAAATGTGACATCCTCTGGAGGTGTTGGACTGTGGACCTCACACTGCCATCAACATGGGCAGGGTACTGCTAGCTGGGGCAGATGGGAGTTCTAGGCTGGGAAAGGCTGCTTAGGAGCACAGGAAGTCACTTCATACAGAATCAGACCCGTCCTGCAGTAGGATTTACAATGACAGACAGGGTCTCCCCAGAGCATCAGCAGGGCTCCTCCCTGACCTTAGCAGAGCTTGGAGCCTTTTGCATGCAAAACCTGCCCTCTTACACTTAGCTTTCCCCTTCCCTGCTCCACTTTGCTTGGTAATTTTATGATCATGTGGCAACACAAGAGATAAGGAACAATTAGCAGATGAAAATGCTGACACTGAGAGCAAAATCAAATGCAGTGCTTCCCTGCAGATTCTGTTGCACAAGTAGAACCTGCTGTGTGTGCAGCACCAATTTGGCTTCCCAGAAGGCTCAAAGGAAAAGAAGCACTCGTTTTTTGATTAGGGAGGTTGGTGGAGTTTCCTTAATGCTAGCTTTACCAATCTGCCCCATTCCAGAAATGAACATTTTGCTAATTTCCTGTTGCCCCCAAAGAGCAATATCTTTGTTCCCCAAGTTCTGGACACCACTTACAGATGGGAACTGCTGCAGCAGCAGAGAATTGGCAGGGCCTTCAGTGCTCCCTGAGATATCACCCTGAGCCAATAAGAACTTAGGTGAAATGCCTACCAGGCCCAGGCTTGGCTTGTCATAAATCCTACCTTTCCAAAATTCTTCAGCCCTAATCCTAATAACACAGACAATTGTCCATCTTGTTTAACAAAACAGCATGGACCGCAACATCATCACATCATTTCCTACTCACCATAAAGCTTGCAATCTAGTGCTCAGGGCCATCACGCTGTGCTACTTTAATGAGGCACACTGATTAGCATTACTCTCATCTACTTCGATTACTTCGATACTTATGTTAATACAGATATTACACTGTAGGTGTCATTAGTAGCACATTGTCACAGCAGCTTGGATTACTGACTGTTGGCTTCAGTCACTGACACCAAGAAGGTGCTTGGCAGAGAAAATCTCCCTGACCCTTATCCCAGCTGGCCTGTAAAGCACTATAATCCCTGTATAAGAACTTTATCTCATCAAATCATCTCTAGAACATAATGACTCATGTGTCAATCCTATGTATACCTACCAAGGAGTAAGCCCTAGTGAACTAAATAGGGCTTACACTTGAGTAGACTGGCACAAAATTGTGCTATAAGGCTGAAATATAAGCTCCATTGAACAAAGGGAGATTTATTCCCAAGTAATGATGAATACAAGTACTAAATATGAATATGAATACTAAATAGCTGCATTTCACTGCACACTTGCTTAAGACTAAATCTCACTATACTCAGCAGGATGCTGATGGTGGACTTTCTGTTGTAAAATTTATCACATTTAGACCCATGGATTGCTGTTTTTATCCTTTAATAACTTGAATATTTTTCATATATCTCTAGTAAACTGAAATAACCTATGTATATTCCATCACAGCATCTAAACTCCATATGTCACACTAACCCACTCTGTGACTAAGCCACAATAAGTTAGTTCTTTGTTCAACGTGATGCATCTAGCAGATGATCAGGATCGCTGTGGCTTGTTCTCCCCTCCTTTCCTGCTTTGTTTCCAGACAGTATCCCAATGCACTTGTGGCAGAAGCTGACTTTTCTCCCCCTCCCTACTCTGATCACTATCCCCTTTCCACCATTTTTCTTAACATCCCACATTTGGGATCATGTTCTATTTTTATTTCTTTCAGTCCCTGAACACTGCACATTTTAATTATATTTTTGTTGGCTTTGTACAGGTACACATGTGTGCATTTATAGTTATTTGATATAGGTAGTCTTTCCCGGTCAATTTCCCTGTTAATTTCAGCTGTCAAAGGGAAGACGGGGCAAGTTGGTAAATGAGCTAATTTGCATACCCTTACCACCATTCAATTGCTTAGCTGTCAACTGAAACACACTGGAAAAAATGTGGAAAAAAACTTAAGAGAAGAAGCCCCAAAAGGAGATGAGGACAATATCCCCTCCTTAGCAGTATAATCCTCTTGATTTTTAGTGTTGAGCTGACAGTTCTTTTCAGCACTTCCCTAACTTTCCAACTATTCTAGAAAGCAGCGATTGTCCCCTATCCATCTGCTCTGCTTTTCAGAGTATTTACTGCTGCAGTTATGCTGGTTCCCTGAATGTTTAAAAAGTATTTTTTTAAATGTAAAGAAATGTAGTCAGATTTAATGGCTGTGAATTAAACGAAGGGGAAATTTGTGCACCTGCATTAACTGCTCCATTACTTTAGGTGCTTAAATTCTGCCTGGAAGTCATCTTCAGATCCACCAGCATCCTTCTGCCAAAGAAATGAACACCAGTGGCAGTGAATTCTCCCCAACTCTTGTGCACATCCCCACATCTGCTCCGAAGGTTGAGGGACATCCAGAGTGGGTTGTCAGGGGCAGGAGGGAAAAAGAAACTCCAAGTGTAGTGGTGGAAACCTGCTCACATGATTAGGATTAAGCCCTGTTGTTTGATGTTCTGATCTGAACGCTGTATCCCCTAGATACAACTGTATAGGATGGGCTCCCTGGTGATAGGAAGTGGAACAGACGGTAAGCAAACAGCCAGTAAAACTTCCTAGGGTTTGCAGCAAGCCATTTCACTACTTGCTCACCATGTAAGGAATATCAATAAAACAACTCCAAGCACTTTATCCTTCACTTTCAGTACAGGGTGAATTGTATGTGCAGCAAGCAGCACACTGCCACATAATTAGTTTGGAGCCTTCCTTCTGTGTGATCCTGGCTTTCCAGTGCTCCTTGGCGTGACTTGGAGGAACAGTTCCTACTGTTATTATTCCTATCACTACAGATGTATATTCCTTACCCAGAGGACAGCTTTGGCAAGCTGTGCCCTGCTTCTGCTTTTGGAAACTTTAACTCAGGATAACCCTTCCTGCCTCTTCTGAGTGGCATGAAGTCACGTCCATCACAACTGTGCTCACTTTTCATATGCCACCAGCGGTTGTTCTTGCTGGAACACCCTGCGAGGTGCATCGCTCTGAAATTTGCCACCTTAGACACGCTTACCTGCGAGCAAGCCCCTCTTGACACACGGGCTTGCGCCTGGGAGTCCATGCGTAGGGGTGCATGTGGCAGCGCTACGGGGCGATCCTGCGCTAAACTCTACCTGCTCGGCTTTCTGGAGCAGCTCGGATGCCTCCGAGGCGACGGTCGCCAGGTTGGCCGAGAAAACAGCCGTCGGCTGGGCCCCTTACCTTGAGGAGGTGGTGCGCCGCCCGGTAGCCCGCTTCCCGCCCGCTCCGCAGGCCGGGGGCCAGCTTGCCCGTGGCGTAGCCGTGCCACGCCACGAGGTACGGGCTGTCGATGGTGAGCCAGTAGCGCACGCGGTCGCCGAAGTGCGTGAAGCAGAGCTCGGCGTAGTCCCGGAACAGGTCGACGAGCGCCGGGTTCTGCCAGCCGCCGTAGGCGTCCTGCAGGCGCTGGGGCAGGTCCCAGTGGAAGAGCGTGACCACGGGCTCCACGCCGCGCTGCCGCAGGCCGGAGAGCAGGCGCGAGTAATAGAGCAGCCCGGCGGGGCTGGCGGGCAGCGTGCCGTTCGGGAGGAGGCGCGGCCAGGCCAGCGAGAAGCGGTAGTGGGAGACCCCCAGGCGGCCCAGCGCTTCCAGGTCGCGCCCGGCGTTGCGGTAGCTGTCGCTGGCCACGTCCCCGGACGGCGGCGCGGCGGCGGAGAGGCGCTGGAGAGGCGCTGCGCCGCGGCGGCGGTGCGTGAAGGCGTCCCACACCGAGGGGCCCTTGCCGTCCTGGCTCCAGGCGCCCTCCACCTGGTACGCCGCGCTGCCCGCCCCCCACGAGAAGCCCTCGGGGAAGGTGTCGTAGAGGAAGTGGTCGTCCTCCGGGAAGGGCAGGCTGGCGAAGCGGGACCAGGTGGCCGCTCCCTGGCCCGGCTCCCCGCTGAGCGGGCGGCAGGAGAGCGCCAGGGCGAAAAGAAGAGGCAGTCGCGGTGCCGCGACGGGAGGCATGCCGTCGGCTGGGGCGCGGGGAGCAGTGCGGGAGAGGAGGATGCTGAGCAGGAGGAGGAGGAGAAGCGACGGAGCAGGACTGAGTGCCTGCCGGCTGCCTCCCCCCCCCACCTCCGCTAAGCCCTCTTTATGCCTTGCTTTGCCCTCCCCGCGTGGCTATTAATAATTACCCGGGAAGGAGGTGGCGACTTCCTCCTGCCTCGGCGCGTGAAGGAGGAGCGAGGTCACTCGGGTCATTCAAGATCAGGGTGCGGGTGAGGGGAGGGAGCAGGCTGTGCCCTCCGGCAATGGGGTTGGCCCCATCTCTAGGGGAAAAGAAATGCTCGCCTTCTCTCCACCTGGCCCCACGCACTCCCCAAGGACTCCCTCGCGCGCATCTCCAGGGCTCCATGCGTGGCTGCTCTCCATCCAGACTCCAGCTCCAGCGCTGCCCCACGGAGAGGCATCAACAGTCGGCGACTGGCATGCCTTAGCTTTGCTTGCCTTAACCCAACTTTTCTTTCCGGTTAAACTTTGGCTGCCAGGTTGGATGCAGTGGCACTGCACCTGCTACCTGTGCGTTGCTCAGTGATCAAGCTGCATCCCCCTAAGGATGGCATCCATGCACTTTGCAGGATCGTTCTCGAGCATCTGCTCAGAAGCGGGTAGATTTCCTCTGGATTCATCTCCAACATGACTTAACTTGTTTCCTTTAACTCTTGTTACCTTTTATTTACAGATTGTTTTAAAGTGATCAGACCATTGTGGTGTCGGTTGTTGAAGCAGAAATGGTTGAATTAGTGTTTTTGTGTATGAAATTGGACGGTGATAGTCAACATTATTCTGGATTAATGAACAGGAAGCTGAGAATGTGATCTTGCATAGTCTGTAGCTGATTTTGTGTGCAAGGGATCTGGACAAGACTTCTGCTCTAATTGCCATTTCCCCCCAAAAAAAGATGGGACAGGGCTTGTTTCTTAGGAAGAAACTGCTAGTTCAGAATGGAGGAGCTTCACACTAACTCCCCAAAAGTGGGCGGTAGTCACCCTTATGGCACAAAACACAAATGAGCCCTCCTGCCTCAGTTTTTTGGCAAGACTGGCCAGTTTTAATAGAGGTCTTTCATGAAGCAGCACCATAGGATACTGTCAAAAAGGCAAAGATCAGTCACAGATCTCTGTGCAAAAATCCAATTTGATTTTTCCATTTCCTAGGCCTACCATCTGAATTTAGGTGATCAGGTATGGAGGAGGACTGGGTTTCTGCACTTTTTATAATTGTGTAGAAGGGGGGATTTCATTGGTTCTGATGTGTTCTTTCTTGTGCTTGATAAACTCTGTCAGCCAAAAGCACCTCTTCTACACATCCAATGAGGTACAGAAGCCCTGTCTCTTTTGCATGTGGTTTTCACGATGGGCATGTAATTGCCTACATTGCCTTTAAAAGGAGTACTGGTGGACCAAAAACAAAACGCTGCAGCACGGAGAGCTTCTGTTCAAGATGTCTTCTAGCCAGCCTGTTTCAGCCTATTCCAACCACCCAAGAAAAAGCAGGGGAAGGAAAGGAGTTGATAGTAGGAGACTTTTTTCTCCTAATACCAGTTCAAGTGTCCCCATCACTAAAACCACATGACCCAAGGGGGAAAAAGGTGTCTGCTGACTTGGTCTAGAATACACAAGGTTTGCTGGGGTATGAAAGTTCATAAGAAAATGCCTAAGCAGAAGAAGCCAAACAGCCCCATGGAACACAATGTTGGATGTTCAAAGAGAGAGAAAATTGCAGCTGGGTGGGAGGGGAAGTGTAATTGAGTGGCTGGACAAAGAAGAGGAGGGCAGAGACACACAGAGAACTATCCAAATGTCTAAGCAGGTAATTTCCTGATTCACACTGAGAAGTGTTTCTTTTAATATTCCTCCAAGACATTCAATTAAGAAAGCAAGGTTAAATGGAGAAAGTAGAATATTTTAAGGTAACCAGGAGCACAAATGTGACCACTCACCCACCCCCTCCCACAAAACAGGCCAAGGAGGGCTGAGCATGCCCTGTGGGCACAGAATGCTGCCTCACTTTTAAAGGCATAACAGGAAAAATGGGCTGAGATAAAGCAGCTAAAACTCTAAGCAGAAGCACTAAGCACTGCAGCATTTTGTTGTTAAAACACATTGTGTTTATTTATTACAAAACTTCATATTCTATCTTTCTACAAACAGAAACTTTGCCCAGACTCTGCCTAGTTCCCCAATAATTCTTTGGTTTGATTTTATTTGTTAGATTTCTACCCCACCTTTTTTTCTTTTTTTAAAGAACTCAGTGTAGCTTAGATCATTCTCCTGCAGCTGTTCTCGGGCTTATCACAATAACAACCCTGTGAGGTAGGCTGGGCTGAGAGTCTGTGACTGGCCCAAAGCCACCCAGTTGGCTCCATGGCTGAGCGGGGACTAGAACCCAGATCACCTGAGTCCCCATCCCATGTTCTTAACCACTACACAATACCGGCTCCCAAAAAGTGGGATTGTGTTTCTTTTGCAGAAGCTATAGTTAGTGAAGCTGAAGTAAATAGCCCGAAAAGAATTACAACAACAATTAGAAGATGAAATTAAAGCAATTGCAAATGAGAGTTTCCTACAAAGTCAAATTTATGCTTTCCTTGTAAGTAGTTTGCACCTGCAAAGAATAAAAGCTGGTTTGGTGTCCAACTGTACAGGATATATTCCAGACATGCCTGACTTGCTGATAGGCTTGAACCATGGAGGGTTGTAGTCAGTGGATAGAAGTTAAAAGCTTTGTCTGAGGACAACAGACTGAGAATTTCGCAGCACTGGAGAAGGAGCCATTGAAGACAAGACCCAGGAAAGGAAAAGTTGAAGCAATAGGAAGTGCACACCACACTAGAAATGAAAAAATTGGAGATAGAAAGAAATTTGGCCTTGCAACCCTGTGTAAAGAATAACTTATTATATGGTTCTATATGCCATATGAAATGATGGAAGAAAAACTGAAGAAGAAAAAGCTTGAAGAAACACCTGCTGGAGCCACCTGTGAGAAAATACTCTGAACTCAGAATTTACCCCACACTGGAAACAAGTAAGGCATTAAGTCAGTAAGCCCAATTCAGGAGCCACGAGCAAGGCCAACAGCAAGGGTAGGCATGTTTGGGTGCCTGCCTGGGTCCACGTCCCAGCAGAGGCCCCCAACAAAAGTGCTTGCTCCTCCCCTTCATCAGTGCAACCTGCTAGCTCGGGGGCCTCTCGCGCTGGCCCAGGCAGCAGTGGTGGCGGGAAGGAGGGGCAGCAGATGCCCCTGCCGACTTGCTCACGGGCTCTCTGCCTGTCCAGAACACGAATGGGAGCAATGGCGAGAAAGGAGGACAGCGGTGATTGTAAAGATGAGAAGGTAGACTCACTGAGGAAAAGGACTTGCTGAGTATTTCTTGCTCAAAGGCCCTCAAAAATCTGGACACAACAGTTGGAAGGAAAGCAAGACAGAAGACTCTTTACAAAACTTGTGGCCGATTCAAAGATCTTGGGAACCCAGCTTATCAAAATGCATGCAAGTCAAAATGGAAGGCCTGCAGTAGAGAGTCTACTGCACTGAGACAGGGCCGTCTTAACGCATGGGCCTGATGGGCACTTGCCCGTGGGCCCCGTACTAATCTGTGTGTGTTAACCCTTGGAAAATTGGAAAACTTCCAAAATTAACAGTAGTTGTAGTTGTCGTAGGGGCCCCAGGACACTGCTTTGCCCGGGGCCCATAATGCTGTTAAGACGGCCCTGCACTGAGAGGCAGTTTAATTGGGCTGAAACTTGTGTTTGGTCTCCATGGAAATATGCCTAGAGATCCTTTACCTAGTTGTGGGATTCATTGCAGACACAGAATATCATTCAGCAGAAGGACAAAGGCAAGAGCAAAGCCTACTCATTTTATTAGAGAATTAAATGTTTTGATAATTTGCCCTCCAAAAAGTGCTAAGGATGCTCAGGATCATTATGAATTAATGCACATAGAAAATATTTTAACTGCTTGACTTTTGTGGATTTGGGGTGGTAATGGGAAATAAAGCAAGCCTGTCTAAGCTAAGATTTCTTTTTGTGAGTCAAGATCCTGAAGGGATTGTTATGTCCATGTAACCATGAGTATATCTTGCACTGGAACAATTTTGAGAAGACATCTAGCACCTCTTGTCTTGCTAATATTCATGGTATTATTGCGACTGATTTTCTAGGATGGAAAATATACATCAGTGATAGGGAAATACCATTGTAAATGTGTAAATAAATAGCTAACCTTGCATTGCCTTGTATCCTTTTAATTTTTAATCTTTAGTGTTAACCTGTTTCCAAGAAAAGCTGTAACATTTTCAAATTGGACCAAAGAACAGACTTTCAATGAGGTAGGATGTTGTTATGAGTTTGCCTTGCCTGATTACTGAAATGCATCTGTCACTAGGATTTGCCTGGGAGCAAAACCTAAGAATAAATATATATATTCATTCATTCATATACATACATATATCCATACATATATATGGCTGTGGATGGTTCCCAGCTGGGCCATTTACCTGCAGGGCTAGGACTTAAATAGAGCATTTGGAAGATTTTATGTGAGAAACAGCAGTTAGCAATTCTTGAATTTGCCAACATAGAAAGATATGAGTGTGTTACAAGTGAAGGTTTTCTCCTTCTCTATGAATCCAATGTAATGTAGCAAAACTATTGATTTTCAGGACTGCCCATTTGCTTCTAAGGGTATATTTTTATGGCAAATATTACAAAGACCTATTTGCCATATAAGAAAAAAGAAACAATAGCATCTTAAATACATCAATCATGAAGGAGTGGCATCTCTGGTGTTGAAAAATACCACTAGCTTTTATTGTATGTCCTACAAGTTTGGAGTAAAAACTTCATGGAACATCATTTGTATCTTACATTTTCTGACCCACATTTGTGAGGTGTCATCTATGTCATTCAATGTCCATGCAATAAAATCTCTTTGAGTAAAACATCAAGGCCTCTAAAGTG